TTTTTGTGGAACTGAGGATTGAACTCAGGCCCTTGAGCTTGTCAGGCAAGCACTTATTCTACTAAGCCATCTCCCCAGCCCCACTTGGGGCTAGGAACAGCGCAGCTCTTAACTTTCCTTTCTGTCAGGGAAACAGGTAATAAATGAGTCTACATGAACATGGAATACAAGTTCAGATTCAATCCCTTTATTTTGTAGCTGGAGAAACTGAGACCCAGGAGGGATTTTCTTACAGTCCTCCAGTGTCATAGCTATACAGAGGCTCCCAAGCTGGTCATCACAGCCTCAGAATACCTGACCCTTTACAAAGGTCTCCTCCAAGTCTTCAGATATAATAGCAGCAGCCAACCTCTACTAAATCTCTCCAGACACCAGAGCTGTACTTAGTACTTTCTTTTTAGTATTGGAAATTGAACTCAAGACCTTGCGCTCACCAGGCAGGCACTGTGCAGCTAAACTATATCCTGTGCCTGGTATTTAGTACTTTATACAGCTTAAATCATTTCATCCTCACTTCAACTCTGAGGGAGGGAACCGTTAAGAATCTTACTTGATAAGTGGGGAAGCTAAGACACCAGCAGGAGTCCAGCAAGGATTGATCACAGGCACTCCCCGCCCTAACCTGATCTCAATGATTTCTCCCACATTCTGAGTGTCCTGGGGAAGGTCCTTTTCCTCTCTGGCCTCAGTTTCCCCATCTGAGGGGGACTGGTTTGGATTATCTTCAGGAGCTTCCCTGACCACCCTGATTTTCAGCCCATCATTTTGTAACTATTTATTCACGTATTTGTTGTCTAGTCTGCTCTCCTACCAGGCTGTGGCGAGCTCCAGGGAGCAGCAACTCGTCCCTCCTTTTCCCCCACATCTCCTGGAGCCTGGCACTGTACCCAGCACTGAGTAGACCCCTCAATAAATACTTGTGGATGAAGAAAGGGGTGACTGTGACCGCCTTTGCTTCTAAAGCCAACTCTGGCCCTTCATCCAGCCTGCATTTTTCCGGGTTTGATATCATTTTTTCCACTCTCCCGTCGGCTGCCGGCTGCCTCTGCCAACTTTCCACAAGTAGAGCCCTCCCCCACCCTGACCGCGGTCAGAGGCAGCTTGGGGTGTGGGAGACCCTACGCCCTTTCTTTCCTGGGCTGGTGTTGGGATGGGGGAGTAGGTGCTATCTACACCCTGGCTGGCAAGCCCTGGGGGATGTCGGGGGAGGGGAGTGGCTCACCAGTCCTTGAGGTGGGGGGCTGGTAGGGGTAGTCCCTGGGTGGGGCTGAGGTCCCAGTCTGGCAGGCAGGGGTGTCAGGCATCAGAAACACGCTGGTCCTAAATGTTTGCATCTTGTTCTCTTCTCAAAGCTTGATTCCCGTCCTTCTCTTGGCTGGAAATGCCTGACCTATACACCCAGTCTTGTCCTTGTCCCGGCCAGGCCGGACACCTCACTGTCTTGGTCTTTCCTCATAACCAAGAGGAGGTCCCAGAGGTTACCCTCACTCGCTGGATGACTTTGGGGTGGGCACTCACTTTCCTCTTGCTGGGTTTTAGTTTTCACCTTTGGAAAATGAGTGAGCTGGACTAAATTGAAGTCTATGCTGGAGGATTAGCATGTCATGGTATTTACCCCATTAGTCCTTAAATTGTATGCAAAATTGTGTTTGAAAGTTTGTCCCCTCAGGTGCTATAAGGATTTGTCACATTCTTTTTTCCCCCTTTTCTTTTTTCTTTTTTTAAATTTATTTATTTATTATTATTCTTTAATTTATTATTTTTTACATTTATTTATTTATTGTGTGTGTGTGTGTGTGTGTGTGTGTGTGTGGCCAGCTCAGCCCACCAGGGGGCGTGGCTGGCTGGCATGTGGTGCTGGGGGATCGAACTGCGGTCCCTGTGCTTTTCCAAGCTTGTTCCAAGTAGGTGCTTTAGACCACTGAGCCATCTCTCCAGCCCCTTTCCCCCTTTTCTTTTACTGTTTTATTTATTAATTTATTTATTGAAACAGGGTCTGGCTACAGAGCCCAGGCTAGCCTGAAACTCAAGGCAATCCTCCTGCCTCAGACTCCCAAGTGCTGGGATTACAGGCATGTGCCACGATGCCTTCCTCTCTTTCTGCTTTCCTTCCTCTTCTCCTTTTTTTCAGTGCTGGGGATGGTGTTCTGGACTTTGTACATGTTAGATAAGTGCTCTACTGCTTAATTAATTAGAGGTACGGTCTTGCTCAGTCCTCTAGCCTGCCTCGGACTCCAGGTGCCTTGGCAGCTTCTTAAGGAGGACTGGACTATGGATGAGTTGGGCATAGATACTGATGCAAAAAGCCTGGCTTGGAAGTTGTCAAGGCAACTTCTCTGAGAGCAGTTGTGTTATCCTGGGCCTGAGCCTCCACTGCTCTGGGTTTTGGTTCCTTCATTAATCAAATCAGGTTCAAGGTAACATTCTCTCCTCAGGTGAAGATTAATTAGTAGTCATGACAGCTTGGTACACAACTCTCACAAAGGCCAGCTATTATATTACCAGGATGAGTGAGTGCTAAGAATCCTTTCAAACAATATTTTATGAGTCAATAATCCATAAAACGAATTCAGGAGAAAATAGTGGGTCACACTGGGCTGTGGTTGGTAGTGATCCTGTGTGTGTCTTAAAGACGGGTACCATGCCCAGTGGCTGGGAGAGGGCCTGAGGACATGACTGGCCTGCGATGTTATGGTTGGCCTGGATACACGGCCAGCAGGGTAAACCAGTCTACAGCAGTGTAAAGGGATGGCAGGAGGAAGAAAAGTCTGGAGAGCCCAAGGAGTTCAGTCTGGGGATTCAGACTGGATGCCCTTCTGGGCTAGTTTATTGTGGGGCGTTTCTGAGAGTAGGTCAGAGTCTAGAGAAAAGGAGACTTTTATAAAAAGGTACCCACCACATTATTAACACCCTACTTTGCCTCTGTCTTGAGGCTTCTGCCCATGGTCTGGCCACCACTTCTCCAGGCTGAGTGGTCCTCCAGGCTCTGGCTCTGGACGATGCTCTCACCATCATGGCAGCGGCCAGGTAGGGCCCGAGGTGCGGACTGCGGGCCACGTGGCTCTTGTTCTTCGGTAGCTTTGGTGAAGCTCAGACAGCATTCCATTGTCCCACCACCTCGGGAAAGACAGGTTGCTTCAGAGCACGGCCAGGTTGTGGCACGATTTGGAGCGGGCTTTGAGCGCTCTACGGCGGGCACTGCGGGCTGTCAGGCGAGCCAGGAAGCGACGAGCGCGCTGGCCGAGGCTGGCGCGCCGCCGCGGGGCTGAGGGCTCATCGTCGGCCACCCGGTCCCGGCGCCGCAGGCGGAGCTGGCGTACTACGCCCTCGAAGAGCTCGGCCACGTTGTGTTGCAGGGCTGCAGAAGTCTCGATGAACTTGCAGTCAAACACCACAGCGCAGGCACGGCCCTCTGCAAAGCGTGGTCAGGCAGATGGAGTGGAGCCAAAACCAAAAAGTGACAAAGAGGCAAGTTCAGTCTCTGTTTCAAGTAATTTTCCCTGACTCCATCCGTGGTGCAGGTGTCACGGAAATCAGGGATAAATCATACTGGGTGTGGGGAGTTAGTTCACACTCTAGTGACAGATGCTGATGGCTAGGTCTAAGAACAAACCCAGTTGAAAGCCAGGGCAAGAAGCCTAACTGCCCAGGTATTGGAATTATCTGGAGGAGTTTGTTAAAATGTAGACTTTTGGGGCCTACCTTCAGGAATTCAGATTCCTTACATCTGGGATTGTAGTGGGAAAATTTAAAACATATAGCTTCATAATTGGGCAGTCATGGGCTGGCCAAATAGCTCAGTGGATTAAAGTGCCTGCAAGCAGTTGCAGGGGCTAGGGGTTCTATCCTGGGGTCTGCCGTGCAGTCCTTGCGCCCAGGGGATGCTGAGATGGCAATTGAGACTGGGCGTGGTGGCACATGTCTGTAATCCCAGCTCTTGGGAAGCTGTAAACAGGCAGATCACTACGAGTCTGATTTAATAGTGATACCCTGAACACCCTGTAGACCCTTCCCTAAAATTAAAAAAAAAAAAAAAGAAAAAAAATGGGCAGTCAGGCTCAATGAGACTTGACTACACAGCTTCAGCTTCAGCTAATTAACTTAGCCCTAGGACCATCCAGCCAGGGGAGATTAACTCTGTCAAGGTCACATTAAATCTTGCTTGCTTGCCTGGGACCCTGACTTGTCTCACAATAAATGACCTACCTCCAATTAAAACCTGCCCCAGACACATCTGCCTGACAACATAGAACTCAATAAATGTAACTGATTATGAACTAACCCTTTATCAACATAGTACATTCTACTTATAAAATGTATATAGAGTGCTGTTTTACTTTAAGCCAATGCTGATGATCTGGACCTAGGTCCAATCAGACTGCTGGTGTTAATAAAGGTTGCTTACCAAACTCCCTGGCGCAAAGCATTTTCCATCTGGTTTGCTACAGTTTCTGCAACAGGATGAGGTCTTGGAACCCATGTTTTAACAAAAATCTATGGATATTGTGGTAGCTTTTCTGGATGTCTGTCCACAGAGCACTTGGCTTTCCATCTCAAGGATGCCAGCGGGCTGGGAGGCAGGGCCTGAGTCCATTCCTGTGGGGCTGGTGCATCTGGGACATTGGCTTTTCCTGTCTGGTCTCAGCTTCCATATTTTGTAGGTTTAATCCATGGGTAAGGCCATTTTAAGCTCTTTATTGGCCTTACCAGAAACATGAAACATTAAAATATTCCCCTTCCCACTGTAAATATAATTCATATATAATTTAAAAGTTTTGGTTCATAATTGCTGGATTATGAACAAATTTATAACACAATTTTTTTAGACAAAGGTTTATGAAATATGAATTTCTCTCTCTCTCTCTTTCTCCCTCTTTCAAGACAGGGTCTTGCTATGCAGTTCAGGTTGGCCTTAAGCTCACTTTGCACTCCAGGATGGTCTCAAACTTGCATGGATCCTCCTGCCTCAGCTCCTGAGTGTTGGGATTACAGGTGTGTACCACCACACCTGGCCTCATTTTCTCATTTTATTTTGGAGCTACTAATTGTCTTTTAAATTTTTAGGTGCAAGTCCTTGAAAAGCTGCTAGGCACTGCGGTTATCATGTCTTGTAGATAAAGTGTCTCTTGTTAAGGGCATGTGCAGATATGGGGGTATTTTTAAGCAGAGAAATGACAAGGTCAGCTCTGGCTCAGAAAACTGTAGCTGGTGAGGAGGGCAGATTGAGTGGGGTCAGAGAAGCACAGGGGCTGACCTTAGACAAAGTGGCGATGCCACGACAGGACAGAGGCTGTATACGAGGATGGAGGGGGGCAGGCCTAAGGGAGGTGGACCTGTTCCGATAGGATGGTGACTGCTTGGGGCATTGCAGAGGGGCAGAGGGCTCACCTTCCACGGAAACTTCACGGCAGCGTGCCAGGTCTGCCTTGTTGCCCACAAGGATGATGGGCACGTGGTCTGCCCGGTGTGCACGCCGCAGCTGGATGCGGAGCTCCGAGGCGCTCTCGAAGCTGCCACGGTCTGCGATGGAGTACACAATGACGTAGGCGCTGCCCATCTGCAGGCAGGACTCCCGGCTCCAGCTTGCATCCTGCATGGGTGGGATGCAGGCCAGCTCGTTAGAAGGTTCCTATACCCTGGCTTTGAAGGAGGCTGGCTTGGTTTTACAGGTGGACTAGGTTATACTTTGGATAGGCTTGGGGGAACAAGTGCTGTAATAATTTTCTGAATCACTTGGAAAAATCACTCATCCTCTCTGAGCCTGATTCTCTGCTTGAAAAACTAAGCAGACATTCCCTTACTTTATGATTATTTCTGTAAATTGGCACTGCCAGCGAAGATTTCTGAGGTTCCCCTTCTTGGTAAGGAGAATTTCTGCTTTGTATGTTCAGCTCTTTTGTCTGGTTTCTGAGGAGGATTTGGCTTTGCCAGTTTACTAGTCCTTCTGCAACCTTGAACTGAGACTTCAGAGGAGGAGAGAAGGGAGGATAGAAAGTTTGTCTTCAGGGAAGGCCTTTTCCAGGACAGTTTTGAAGAGAGAGGTGAAGGAGCAGCTGTGACGTGTACAAGAGGTGATTAAAATATACAGTGAATATTTATATAAAATTATTATAGCAAAAGATACATTGTCATTAATCTCCTTTTTATTCCACCATTCTTGTTACCCTCTGAAGCAGCTCTGGAAGACTTCTTTTGTGAGTAGCTTTATGAGATGTGATAAAAATATGGTGAATGCTGCTGCTGCCAAATGCCATCCAGCAGAAAAGAAGGCTTGCAAAACCTAAGTTGTGTGTATAGCTCATCTGCCTTATTTACCAGATCTGGCATTGTATGACTTCTGGCTTTTCCCCAAAGTCAGACTGACCATGAAGGGTGAAGGGTTGGAGTGGAGTCAGGACACTGGGCGGCAAGGACAGGACAATTGATGATACTCCTTTAAGAGGACATCAGACGATTTAGGCTATTAAGCTTAACCTCACTATCTCACTGCATTTGATAATAACAATAAGCTTGTCTTCTGGATGGTTAACAACCTAGTTTGCAGACCAAAATTAGAGAAAAAGGAGGGATACAAGGAAAGCCAACATTTTGGCCCTAGCCTTCTAAGGTCAATTAAGACTCAGGACATATGAGAACTTGTACTGTAATGTCATGTACCTTGGTAGTGTCCCAAATTTTCTGATCAAGAAGATTATGGGGCCAAAGAGGAAAGTGATCGATGACGTAGAGTGTGCCTAAGAAGAGTCACATGGGGAGAAGACACTCCCTCAGGCTTTCACAGAGAGCACATTGGCCAAGCAATGGCCGTGACTCATCCACATGGCTGCACTGACAAAGGTTCTACAATCTGAGGTACAGGATCTCAGGATAAATCCTGAGGGCATTTCATTGACCTTCTCAGACCAAAAAGCTACAACTCTTGTTGCATAGGTCCTGCTTTACCTTGGTCTTAACCATCCAGTAGAAAAGTATGAAGATGAAATATAGGAAATAAAGCCATGCTGTTATGTTGAGCTGTGGGGGACTCAGGTCAATAATTTCTGACATTGCCAGTTAAACAGAAGACCCAATGCTATTATGGGCTACTGGACTCTTTTAGAATATTTTGCTGAGTTTACACACCTATAATATTCAATAATGGAACTTAGAAAAAATGGGGTATACCGATGAATGTCCATTTTGTATCTGTGTATTCAAAGTGGTTAGGATAGATATATAGTTGCATTCTCTTAATAGAATGATTTGTTCTAATGGTGTTTGTAGATAGGATCTCAAGTCTGCATCTTGTACAGCAATTAACCACTGAGAAGAATATATGCAGTGTATTATTTGTTGAAACTGTACTTCCGATTAGATTTGAAACTGTCTCATTGCTATCTGTTTATCAATAAAACTTTGAAAAAAAAAAAAAAGAGGACATCAGAACCGATTCAGAAAGTGGTGAGACTGGTTGGATAAGTATGTTCAAAGAGGGAGTGGATTTTTTTTTTTTTTTGTTTTGAGACAGGGTCTTGCTATGCAGTTCAGGTTGGCCTTGGGCTCACTTTTGTAGCCCCCAAGCTGGTCTCAAACTCATAGCGATCCTCCTGTCTCAACCTCCCAAATATTGGTACCTGGCAATGTGTCTTGTTACTGTAAAAATGTAACAAAGTAACTTATAAGAGTGTTTTTCTGATCACATCTTGTAAGTTCAGAATGGGATGGGAATAGCAGGTCAGAATTGGGATCATCTTGATATTCCCTTTTGGATGGTGGTCATTGGTCAAGGACAGCACTTGAGATGGGGCCATGTGGGTGATAACATTGTGTTTAATAAAACACAATTCCTGCCATTAAGAAGCTCATGGTCTGGAAAATGGAGAATGGGAATGGAGGGTAACCAGGCATTACAGTTAGCACCATATGTATTGGCATCCGGGAGTAGCTGGGAGGGCCATGGTGGTGGGGTAGGGCGGGGCCGGGCGGTCAGAGAAACTCAAGGGGGCAGAGTGTGGAAGGGCTTCCTAGTGGTCCAAGGAGTAATGTTTGAGAGCTTGAGCAGGTCAAGTAGGAGAGGAAAGTCCAGTAAAGGGGCAGAGGCAGAGCTACAGTCTAGAATAGGGGAGGATGAGTGTAGAGGAGCATTAATATAAAGGAGGAGGAAGCCAGAAACATTCCCTGATCACCAAATAAGACAGACAAGCAGGAAGGTATGAGAGTATCATCAATATCACTGTGAATGGAGTAGGTTCTCAGCATGTTCGCTGATTATTCCCTAGGATAAATAATCTTTGGTGGAATTAGACAAACGTGGACTCTCAACCTTGACATGGATGGGCTTCTGCCTCCTTTTAGGTCTTAGTTTCTCCATCTGTAGAATGAGAGGGTGGGTTTTGACCATTCATTCATGAATTGTACAAGTATGTATGGAGAATTTACTGTGTCCAGATCACAAAAGCCAGTTGATGCACAGATTGGTAGGTAAGAACCCATTGGTAGAACGACTAAAAATATAAATTTTAGAGCCCCACTTTTAGATGATCTTATTCATTAGGTCTGAGATGAGGCATAAGAATTAGATTATTTTGTGGAGCTGGGATTGCTCCTAGAGTCTTTACATGAACTACCGACACAGACTTTTTCAGTTTTTGAGACAGGATCTTGCTAAGCTACCCAGGTTGGACCTCAAGTGTATAATCCTTTTGGATCAGGCTCTTGAGTGCTGCAATTAGAGGCAGGCACCATAATGACTGGCTAACAAATATTTAATACTCTCCCAGTGGCCCTGATGGCCAGCCAAGCTACAGCACTACTGAATGAGCCAAAAGCCCACCTGGTTCAGTCAGATTCTGCATCTCTGACATCAGAGTTCCATTGTGCCTGCAGATGGAAAGGGCAGATGCTTAGACCAGCAAGGTTGCTACTGCTGAGCACTTTGGGAACTCCCTTCACCCAGGGAAAACTAGTTCAGTTTCCTCATTTTACTGGCAGGAAAAGCAAAGGCCAGAGGAGAGGAGAAAATGGTCTTAGGACCACATAGCAAGTAGTACACAACTCTTAATTCTTACCTTCTGGCCCAGTACCTTTCCTCACTGGGCTGCACAGTGGGACTCCCACTCTTGTCACTCTCCTTGATCCCAATGAACTCTATCTACTCCACAGAATTCTCAACTGCATCAGAACAGTGAACCTTTCCTCACCAGCCTGTAAGCTCCACAAAGCTGGGGGACACATCTGTCAGGTTCACTGCTGTGTCTCCAGCATCCTGGCCCACAGCAGATCCTCAGCAAGTATTTCTGAATGCATGCATGCATGCATGTGTGAGCAAAAGGGTGAATGGATGGATGAGCAGTAAAGAAGTAAAAGCTGAGCTGAAGGTTCAGAAGGTGATGCTCCTGAGGGGGAGGGTTCTGGGATTTTGTAGACCTGGGTTTGAATCCTACTTTCTCTCTCAGAGTATGGGACACAGTATTTTTCATCAGTAGAATGTGAATCAAAAGACTGGCATTGTAGCTGTTTTGACTAAATGTCAATAGTGCACATCCAATACTTATACATCTGGTGGAAGGGGATCCTCTATTCATGTCAACTGCTGTTATAAGAATCATCATTGGGACCTGGGTTTCCTTTTGTGTTTGTTAAAAGGAACTGGCTAGTTGGCTTCTTTTTCTTTCATTTTCCTTCTTTGGTCCCACCTGTGGAGCTGCCCACTATTCTTGTACGTCATCTCACTGCTCTCTTAAGCCCCACCCCATCAGGGTCTTTCTTGAGTGTTAGGGAGGGGTCTAGACATAAAGAGATGGGACCCCAGGTGAGTTTTGTATCCTTTGGTTAGGTGTAGTTTTTCACAGTTTGGCAATAACCATTATTATTTATGTAGCATGAAAAAAGAAAAAACCCAAATAAGAAAAAAAAAATTAAGAGACATGTTCTTGTGTGTTCTGTAAGTGAACAAGGAGGGATGCACTTTGGTTTCCTTTTTCACTAATTACCAACTTATGACTTAAGAATTGTCACATACTATTCTCTGCCCCTATGTAGCATTTTTTTTTCATGATCTGAAATGGGTTCACTTCTGTGGAGCCGCATTAAAAAAAACCAGCTGATGACGGGCTCAGTGGTAGAATGTATGTTTAGCATGCGAGAGGCCCGGGGTTTGATCCCCAGCACTGAAAACAGACAATCAATAACAAAATTAGCTGATGAGGAAGGCAGGAATGACTGACTCATTTATCTGATGAGAAAACTGAAAGTCAGAGTGGATAAATCAATTGTACAAGCTATGTAACTAGTAATAAGAAGAAAGGTGGAAATTCAATGGTAGGCATTTGTGTACCAAATCCCTGTTCCTTCTTCTGTACTGCAGGTAGGTGGGGCGAGTGGGGGTGGGGGGTGTTGGGGGGGCAGCACATCCTGGGATAGCTCCTGGGAGGGGGTCAGTAGGGGTGTGAAGCTCTTCTGTCTTTAGAAAGGCTGTGGGTTTGGGGGAGGGGCTGCTGGGGAGACCCCTGTGCTGAGTGTCCTAGGAGGGGACAGAAATCTGCTATCTGGCCCAGCACCCCTCTCCACCAATCCTATTTGCAATGCCATACCAGTTTCTCAGCTTCCCAGGTGTCCATGACTATCAGTGTGGTGTCCTCTCCATCCACTGTGAGGGTCCTCTCATACACATCTGCAACCAATGCAAGAGGTGGCTCTCAGTGAGAAGGGCAGGCCCACAGAGTGCATGGGCTCCTTAGCCCTTTTCTTGTCAGTTACCTCCTCAATCCTTGGGGTGCTTATCACATTCATTGATGCCTGTCTTTCTGATAGGTCAAGAAGCTACATGAGGACTCCTACTCTCCTATAGCACAGCACTTGGCACATGTTAGGTGCCAGGAAAATGGGTTTGTTTGATTAAATGAGTTGGGCAGTGGGGTTAAAGTCAGGCTGGGAATTCTCCCACTTCCACTGTGTTCTCTGGGATGTCCTCTCCCAATCTACATGCACAGTTTGGGATTCAGGCAGGTCATGTTGGCCTTTCTGGTGCTCAGTTTCCCCATCTGTAATACCTGTAGGTACACTTTTCATAATAGCTCTCACCCACAGGAAGATCAAGCTGGAGTAGTTTGGCCAGACTGTCCCCACCTTAGCTTTGCTTTTAGTCATTCTCTCCACTCACCCTGTGCCCTCTCAGACTGTCCTGCAGGGGAAGGCTGGCATTTCTTCTGTCCCTGTGTCCCATCATCCAGGGCCCCTGGCCCCATTAACTCATTGCATTTCTTGGGACCAAAGAAATCCTGGGCCCAGAACTGGAGATATGGGAGTCTCCAGGGTGAGAAGATGCTGCAGGTCACAGTGGTTATGATTGGGTGGCTGTGGGACTGGGAGGGTCTGAGAGTCTGGGGGACCTGGCACTGGGGATTTCTGAGCTGTGTAGAGGCTACCATTTCTTATAATGATAGCTTTTAGAACTGTTCCTCTTATGACATGGAAATGAACCATGTACTTTTAGTCATGAGAAACTAGCACATTTTCCACTCCAAGGCATTTCCCTTTCCTAGATCATGGTGCTGCACAACTCTAGGTGAGCATCATTTACCTCATGGTCTGTGTAAAAACGCCCCTTCAAGTTGCACAGTGCATGCATGACTTGTACAACTGTTTTTGGTAGCCCCATGCCCTGCTTACAGGCCTTTCACTGCTTTGGCCACATCCCAGCCCATCTCATACAGACCCTACCTCCCAGCTGTTCATGGAAGTCCCGCTCTTGCTTCCCTGCAAAGACGTTGGCCAAGCTGGTCTTCCCTACGCCAGGGTCTCCAAGCAGCACCACTCGGTAGAGGGCCTCCCAGGAGCCTTCAGAGTCACTGGATTCAGAGGACCAGCTATCTGGGGCAGGTGAGGGTTTCTGGGCAGGAGGGTTGAGGGAGGCTGACTGGCCCAGTGGGGGATGCTGGGATTGCATGGGGGCCATGGTGCACAGGTGGCCAGGCTGGCGGCTCCTGGAGGACAGCGGTAGTGGAGTGCTGGCTCTTCGGCGCAGTGGAGTTTTTGCTTCCTGCTGGGTGTTTAGCGTCATCCTTGGTGGAAAGGGACTTTTGCACTGATTGCTTCCTTCCTTCCTTCCTTCCTTCCTTCCTTCCTTCCTTCCTTCCTTCCTTCCTTCCTTCTTTCCTCCCAAGAAGATGGATGGGCAGTGCGGCTGTTACTTTGAGTCCCTGCTATAGCTCCTGGGGAGCAGTTGAGAGAGCTTCTTCCAGTCCCCTTTTGTTTAGCGGGAGGCACCACAACTCGGTGGGGTGGAGGTTTTCTGGCTTCAGGCCCAGAGTAAACCTGGGTCTAGCTGGAAGGGGTGAGTACATACAGGCTGTGAACTCATCCGGACATGCACACCCATTTCCCACGCCTGAGGATGATCCACCTTGATGACACACAGACAGACAGAGGGACAGCCCCAAGTGGGAGAGGTCGATGAGAGAACCCGCCTGGGCGGACGCAGCGCTGGCCCTTGTATCCAGAGGGAGACAATCGCTGCCTTCAGCCAGTTGCCTTCTTACCCCCTTCCCGTGTCTTTGACTCATTTTGGGTTGGGGTTGTAGGAGAGGGTTGAGGGCGCCCGGGGGCGGGGGCTTTACTGCCCCTGCCCAGTCTCACTGGATTTCAGAAGGAGCAGAACAGGTTAGGTTGGTGCCCCAAGGGAATTGGGGGCTCGGGGTATCCCTCAGGCTGTAACCCGAGTGCCCTGGTGCCATGGGAACGGCGTGTCCGGCCCGCCCCCTGCGTGAAAAATTCAGGAGCGGCTGGCGCTCGGGCCTCCAGCTGTTGTGGGGGCGGGAGGGGGGAGCTTCAGGCCAGCCAGGCCCCAGGTTTGGTGACAAGACAAGATCCTGACCAGGAACCGGGAGGGGAGCCCACAGGGCCCTGGAACGCATATTCCATCCCTGGAGTTTGGGCCCAAGCTTTCCCAGTCTGGGGTTCTAAGTGTGAATACCTCGGCATTGGGAGAAAAGGGGTTCTCTTGTCCGGGGGCCAGCCCGCCCTCGACGCCCCAGATCTGGAGACCCTCGTCCCGGACGCGCCTCGCGCTCCCGACCCGCACCAGCACGGTGCGGGCGCTGGCGGACTCCACTCTAACTCGAGCAAGTTGGCGGCGGGCCGCGCGCACTTTACCTTGCGTGGGCAGTGTCCCCAGCCCGTCTTGAGCCCGCCACCTCCGCTGCTCTGCGCTCTGGGATGTGCCAGCCGCTCCGGCGAGCAGCCCCTCAGGCGGATCCCGCCCCACCGGGGGAGCCGGGGGAGGAGCGCGACCCGCCCCGTCCCGCCCCGCTGTCGGGGCAGCCCCAGGGTCCCCGCCCCAGGCCTGGGTCCCGCAGACTCTTCCGCTCGCAGAGTCCAGCTGACCTGACGCCGCCAGTCCTTCCGAAGTGGGCGTGTTGGGGTAGGGGACGAGAGATTGGAGGATGGGGACTGTGGGTTCCTGGGTCTAGATTCCCCTCCGCGTTGGCGTGGGTCCATTCCATCAACCAAATTCAGCCCTGGGGAGAGAGGGGTTCAGGAATCTCTGCGGGACTGGAAGAGGGGCTTAGGAATCTACATTTCAATAAAACAAGTGTTCTAAGTGATCCTGATGCAAACAGCTCGCAGACCTGACTTTGTGAAACTTTGCTATGGCTGGAGGATTAATTTTGGGAAGTGACTTGGGGGAAGAGAGCAGGGGAAACCTGCACCACTCGAAGAGTTCTGGGTTTCAGTGTCAGTCGTTCATTTGCTCATTAAGCTGAAGATTGGCTGAGCCTGAGACTACGGTCTCTGCCTTTCAGCCCACAGACCTGATGAAGAGGAAGAAGAGGAAAAGGGAGAGGAGAAGGAGGAGGCGGAGATCTTGATAGAAGAGAGGTCATCTGGAGGGCTTTACTGTGTGCCTTTGTGGCTTTGCGTGGGGCCAGGATCCGGCTTTGAGTACATGCTTCTCTTTAACTCTTGAGGGATTGGGATGCATATCTGTGTGGCGGCCAAGGAGACCAGGCTGTACCTGTAGGTGGGGCTTGTGGTCAAGGAGACCAGGCTGTACCTGTAAGTGGGGCTCGTGGTCAAGGCTGAGGGGGTCCGGGTGTCTAGCTTGGAACAACTCCCACAACTCAGCCCCGGGAGGTCTTGGAGGATGATGCTGTCTGCCACCCCCATCAGGCGCCTGGCTTCCTTCCAGGGCTTGGCCTTTTAAGCCAACCCTTCCCAGGTGCACAAGGGGTTGGGTGTGGTATAGCCCCCTTTCCTGTCTGGCATGGAGGTGACAGCTACTAGGCCTGCTCTGCCAGTCAGTAGCTTCATGCACTTAGGCAAGTCAACTCTTCTCCTTGGGTTTCAGTTTATTTAAAACTGTAATCTGAACAGGTTTGCTAAACAGGATCCTACTAAAAACATTTGGTTTCCTATAATACAAAAACCTGAACTTGGTGCTCAAGTCCTATGGTGATCTGGGTCCCTGTCTTTGTCACCCTAGGAACATTCACTCTGCCCATGCCCCTCCCTGTAGGCACTGTTTTCTTTGGCTGGAGTACCTCTCCCCACTCATCTCATATGCAGTTCAGGTACATGTATCAGACTCTATTTTTTAATCTTTTTGAGATAGAGTTTTGCTATGCAGTTCAGACTGGACTGAAGCTCACTTTGTAACCCAGGCTGGTCTCAAACTCAGTGATCCTCCTGGCTCAGCCTCCCAAGAGCTGGGATTGCAGATGTGCACCACCACTCTGGGCACCAGACTATGCTGACCTCTGACTCTGTACTATCTTAGTGGTTTTCAGGCCTTAGTGGTACATCAAAAATCACATGGACAGCTTGTTGAGGGGTCCATTGTCTAGAATTTTTGATTTATAAGTTTGGAATAGGACTGGGATATTTGCAATTCTAGTAGGCCCAGGTGCTTACTGGTTTGGGGACCCCACTTTGAGAACCATTGCATTAATTCATGTAAATCTCTGTGTGAAATAGGTAACTATTACTTTGAGGTAAGTACTCTTCCCAGTTTTAGACTGAGTCCAAGCACAAGCTTACTTGGCCTCATCTCCATGGTGTTAAGAAGCAAAATATCCACTTACTACCCCTAAAAAGACATTTCATGCCACATCCTGTGTCTCAGAGAGGTTAGTGACTTGCCCAAGGCTGCATAGCCATTAGGAGGAGATATGGGATTGATGAGGTCTCCTCTAGTCAAGGTGCTTCTCACTTTCTCCTCTCCTTCTTCTGCCCCACGTCTTGCTTCAGAAAATTCAGCCTCCAGCTTCAGAGCTGAGCAGCCTGCGCGGCAGGTGTGACCACTGGCTGAGACCTTGGGCAGCCTTGGGACCACACTGCCTCATTCTCCCACTCAGTTCCGCTGCCCTGGCTCTGCCTTCATCCACAGCCCCATAAAAGCTGGGCAGCAGCAGGCAGCTAGGCTCAGCCGCTAGGTCCTGGCCTCTGGAGCTCTTGGCAGTCTCCCCAGGAGCCCCATGGCCATGACACAGCTGCTTCTGCTCATTGTGGCTCTCCTGGTTCTGGGTCAGGCTCCACCAGGTAACCCCCCACCCCAGTGTGTGTGTGTGTGTGTGTGTGTGTGTGTGTGTGTGTGTGTGTAAACTCTCAGGTGCTCAGGTCCTAGAGGACAGAAGGGTGTTCAGGTCAGCATTTAAGTTCTGGCCCCACTGCTGACTTAAGAGCAGCTTATGGCAAGTAGCACAATCAGCTGGCACCTGTCTTCTCGCCTGTAAAATGGGATTCTTTTAATAATCATGCAAAAAAAATCACACAAAAAACATTTGTTGGGCTGGCCAGATTACTCAGCAGATTAAAGCGCTTGCTTAGGCAGATGCAACAACTGGAGTTCATCCGTGGTGAGCTATGCTGGCCCCGCACCCGGGGCATGCTGAGATGGTAAATGAGACCGGGGGTGGTGGTGCATGCCTGTAACCCCACTGCTTAGGAGGTTGAAAACAGGAGGATCACTATGAGTCTGATCTGTGTAGTGAGACCCTGTAGAGCCTATACTAAATACATTAAAAAGTTAAAAAGAGTAAATTAAAAACAAAACAAAACATTTGTGCTGTGTGTGTGTGTGTGTGTGTGTGTGTGTGTGTGTGTGGCCAGCTCAGCCCACCAGGGGGCGGGGCTGGCTGGCATGTGGTGCTGGGGGATTGAACTGCGGTCCCTGTGCTTTGCTAAGCTTGTTCTAAGTAGGTGCTTTAGACCACTGAGCCATCTCACCAGCCCAAAACATTTGTTTTTGAATGACGTGTCAGATACTGTTAGGATTGCTGGGATTTGACAGTGAGAGAAAATAAAGCACTTGCTTTCATTTTATTTGGTAGAAAGAAGAAAGAGATAGCTAAGGAGAGAAAGGAGACAGCAAAGCAGAGAATGCCTCAGGTGTGCCTGGTGCCGGGAGGAGAAAGGCAGGGTGAGGGCTCCGAGGGCTTGTGTGCTGGGCGGGAAGGCTGATGCAATGGGCAACAGAAGCCTCTTTTTAAAACTGTACTTTGGAATTGTAAAGGCAAAAATACCCCAAAACTTTACTTTGGAAAATATTTCAAGTATATCTGAAAATAGAACAACATAATGAACAAGGCCTTTGTTTTGTTCGTTTTTTGCAATACTGGGAATCTAACCCAGAGCCACATGCCATCCTTTTTTATTATATTTTGAGGCAGGGTCTTGCTAAATGGCCTTGACTGCCCTCAAACTTTCCATATCTCTGCCTGAGCCTCCCAAGTAGCTGAGATTACAGGTGTTTCCCACCATGCTAGGCTGTGTGTGTGGGGGGTTGGGGTCAAACTGTGGGCCTTGCACATGCTAAGCACATTCTCTGCTACTGAGCTATATCCCCAGTCCCAAAAGGCAAGTTAAAAATGTTTTTATTATGGAAAAATTTAAATTTATGCAAAAATAAGAAATACTGTAATGATGTCAGTTTCAAAAATAAACTTTCTTATTTTAGAAAATTTCAAACAGCAATGAAAAATGATATAAAGATTCCCTATGGAAAAAGAAAAGATTCCTTTTGTACTTATCACCCAGCTGGGTCACGTAGGGCTTTGGACCAACCTAGTTTTGTTTCTTCCATCCCTCACCACTGAGTTATTCACGGATTTGCCCCAGTGATCTCATCATGTTGTTTAAAGTGGGTCTGAGCAGAGCTCAGAATTGCTCGAGGACACCAAGACCAGCGGGAGCAGCAAGGGTGAAGGGCCCAAGGCAGGAGCCTGAGGGCTGTTGCTTAAGGAGTCCTGGGGGCCAGTGTGGCAGGCTAGAGAGTGAAGAGAAAGTGCAGGAAGCCAAGTCCAGGAGGAGGAGCAGAGACCGGATTGCCCAGGGGAGAAGAACTGCTTTGAGTCTTGGGCTGCCTGGAGGCTCAGTTATGATGATGTACTGAGTGGGTAGTGTAAGCACTGCCCCCAAGGGCTTGGGTTCTGTTTCCAGACTTAGCACTGAACAGCTAATAATCTTGAGCAAGCCCTTTCCTTTCTTTATGTGGAAAGTGAGTTGGCCTGGAATGGGCCTTGGTTGCTTCAGCTACTAAGCTGTCATTTTTATAATCTCAATTACTCTTTATGGACCGTTTACTACATGCATTGTGCTAAAATGATCTCAAATAACTCTCTAAAAGAGTTGTATAGGTGGAAAGGGCTGGCCAAATAGCTCAAGGGATTAAAGTGCCTGCTTAGGCAGACACAGGGGCTGGGAGTTCCATTCTCTGGCCTGCCGTGCTCCTCCCCACCCCCGCGCTGAGACAGCAATTGCGATTGGGCGTGGTGGTGCGCGCCTGTAATCCCAGCTCTTGGGAGGCTGTAAACAGGAGGATGACTACAAGTCCAATTTACTCAGTGAGACCCTGTAGACCCTGTCCTAAAAAAAAAAAAAAGTATCTAAACTGAACATCACTTACTACTTAACTGTGAAGTCATAGAGCTAGGATTTGGACCCAGCAGGGCTGGGCTGTGTTCCCACCACAGTTAACCATTAGATCACATACTCATAATCGCCCAAATGTGGATTCTTTGCCTGCTAGAGACTTTGAGGCTGACGTATCATTCAAAGACTTGCATGGAAAGATGGAAGGATGAACTGGTCAGCAGGGCTGGTAAAACCCATGAGTAGGTAGTTCTAAGACATCATCTGAGGAGTATGTGGAGTCTCTTTGCTCCAGGGAGCCTTGGGGGGGCCTTGGCCCTCCAGCTCCACTCAGCCCTGGCTCCTCTGTGTTGCTGGCTCTCTGTTCAAGGCCATGTGTCTTGAAATGTTGTGGTAACAGAGGAGCCAAAATGGTTCTAGTACTTTATCACTGTCCAACCTCAACTTGAATTGACCATCCCAGAACTCTGATCATTTCTTTCTGCAAGTTATTACATACTATTTATTGTACTTATTTGCTTGTTTTTAAAAACTATGCTCCCTTCCTTTCTCAAGGATGGTAAACGTCATAGTCACATCATTTATTATAGTATCCCTAGTGCTCCTTGGTTTTTTATTTTTAAAGTTTTATTTTATTATTTTGCTATTATTAAACCATTCTTTTATTTTATTTTTCTGTGGTACTGAGGATTGAACTCAGGACCTAGCACTTTCCAGGCAAGTGCTTATTCTACTGAGCTATCTCCCTGGCCCTTTATTTCTTTATTGGTAGATTTTTTTGAAATTTATTTTTAATTTTTTTAATTTTTAAGTTTTTTTTTTTTTTTTTTTGAACTGAAGATTGAGCTCAGGCCCTTATGCTTGCCAGGCAAGCGCTTATTCTACCGAGCTACCTCCCTAGCCCCTTTAATTTTATTTTAAAGGGTAAAAACAAATAGCAGAAACAAAGACAGAAACAGGCTGGAGAGATGGCTCAGTGGAATAAGCACTTCCCTGGCAAGCACAAGGACCTGAGTTTAATCCCTGGTTCCTCAAACAAAACAAAACAACAAAGACAGAAACAGAGTAACAAACAGCAATACACACAGTTCAGAATTTCAAAACAATAAAAATTTAACAGTGATTGTTGTACAACATATTTTCATGGTCAAATCTGTTGTTCAGATTAATAGATGTGGGTATGCAAGATTGGTCAAATAATTAAACATTAATGCTTACTTTCACTAAATCTTAATTTTAGGGCTAGCGAGATAGCTCAGGGGACTAAGCACCTGCTTAGGCAAGTGCAGGGATCGGGGCTTGATCCCCAGCACCACATGCCATGCCAGCCCCGCAAGGGTGTGCTGAGCTGGCCACAGAGACCAGGCATGGTGACACACATCTGTAATCCCAGTACTGAGGAGGCTTAAAAATAGGAGGATCACTATGAGTCCAAGCTGCGTAGTGAGACTCTCTACCAAATACATAAAAACCAACAAACAAAAACAAAACAAAAAAATTTAAGTTGGGGCTGTGGAGATGGCTCAGTAGAATAAGCGCATGCCTGGCAAGTGCAAAGGTCTGAGTTCAATTCCCAGTTCTGCCAAAAAAACAAAACAACAACAAAAAAAACTTAAGTTTTTTCTTTTACTTTTTACTTTTTAAAAATTTATTTAGGGGCCAGGGAGACAGCCCAGTGGTATACGCATCTGCCTGGCAAGTGTAAGGTCTCCAGTTTGATCCCTAGTACTGGAAATAAATAAATAAATAAAATTTATTTCAAAGAAAGTATACTAATTGATAAGACATCAGAAGTTCTCTTTGTTGAATGAATACATGAAGGAGGGGCTCCATCTCATGCTATAATCAAAGACCACTTGAGGGGCTGGGGAGATGGCTCAGTGGAATAAAGCACTTCCCTGGCAAGCTCAAAGGCCTGAGTTCAATCCCTGGTTCTGCCAAAAAAAA